TTCCCTGCTGTTGGCAGCTCTCCGCTCGCACCGGGGGTGCTGGGGGAAGCGAGGGGACAGCTCGGTGCCGTCGCAGCCTCCGGAGCAATAAAAACCGGGAGTGAGCTCAGCCGGCGGCCGGCTGTGAGTCAGCCTCCCGGCACAGCCCTGCCCGAAAGGCCCCGAGTGGTTCCAGCCCCCGGCTCCTCGCACACCTCCCCTGGCCCCTGCCCAGGAAAATCCTCCTCTCTGGAGTTATTCTGGCATCTGGCAAAGGGTGAAACTCTGATGCAGCCGGAGCTGGGTCGTGCCTTGGAGCTGGGCACCTGGGCAGGAGCTCCTCTGGCTGCTGCGTCCTTTGCTCCTTGCCCAGCGTCGTGCCAGCGGCATGGCTCTGGGACGGCCCTGGAGTGTTGTTCTCCTGGGGTGGCCGTCCCTTCCCTGTGATTCTACAGGAGCCAGAGCTGAGGGCAGCTTGGCACCGGGCTCCACGTTCCCTTCCTCGGTCTCGTGGTGGTCTCAGGAGTCCTTAAAAAATAAGAAAACTCACTTTTGAATGCAAAGTCTGCTCATCCCTCCTGGAGTAGGAGTAAAGTCCAAGGGAGACGTGATGCTTGGGGGCACGGAGCTGGGCTGGCACTCTCTGGGACCAACTTCTGCCCCTGAGAAGTGGCAGATGGTCACTGCTTGAAGCAGCATTGTCCTGATTTCCGCTGAGGTGGGAGCATCCGCTGCCTTCTCCTCTTGCAGAGCACGACGCAAATTCCAGCTGTGCTCCCAGGAAGGCCCTCGGTGCTGCTGGAGGGGCTCGGGATAGATGAGAAACAGCCCTGGGCATTGCTGCTTCGTGGTGTCCCCCCCCGTGCAGAGCTCCAGGCTGTTTCCATCCCCACCTCTGGGGTGGGACGTGATGTCGGATGTTTCCCTGGCGCTCGCGGGACACGCGCTCTCGGCTTTAAACAGCTCCTGCTGCCTGTCCGGGGGCAGCGGGGGCCGAGCGTGCTGAACGCTTTTGCTGCTCCAGTCCCTCCTGCCCTTCCAGCCCGGGGCACGCACCCCTGGAGGCTGCTGGATCCCTGCCCCATCCAACCCCCTCCCCGCATCCCTGGCGTGGCACAAAGCCCGCAGGAGCGTGCCGTGGCCGTGGGGGTCCGTGCAAGGTCGGTGTGTGCCCGGCCCAGGCTGGCTCTGCTCCTTCCTCCCTCCCCTATCCTGGTTTCCTAAGGTTTTCCCATTCCTACGCTATTTTTGCTGGCTGAAGAGGTGACGCAGCACGGCACGCTCGTGCCTCAGTTTCCCCTGGCTGTACTTAGTGCTGTCTCCTGGCAGCCAGGGCTCTTGCAGGCACCAGCTGTGCTGCCCCACTGTTCCCAGGGCATGGAGGCGCTTGGCGCCGGAGGCAGCAGGAGCGTGGCACTGCCAGGACGGGGGCCACGGCGGTTGAGCCGAGGGAAGTGGCAACTTCCCGTTGATTAAACACCAAGCCCAGATCAAAGCGGCGAGGCTCGGTAAGCGTTAACGAACCCAGCTCATCACCAGGCCTGCATTTTTCTACTGGTTTGTCCGGAGTAGCCCAGACTGCCCTGGTCCTCCCAGGCCACCGCGTAGTGCCCGGCGGCTTTCAGCACGGAGGAGCTGCTCTTCCCCCTGTTGCTGGCCGCCCTGGCATGGCGATTGCCAGCGAGGCTCCGGTGCCCTCCAGCTGCCCTCGGTCATGGCAGGGAGCTGCTCCGCGTGCTGTTGGGCTTTGCGGAGCGCGGCTGCCCTCCGATGAGGGTTTTGGCACGGAGGTGGCTCGTTGTTGGGAGCTTTGCATCCTGTCCCATGCGAGGGAGCCGAGTCCCTGTGAGCTGGAGATGATGGAGAAGGTGTTATCCAGGACATGTAGCAACATCCTTGGAGGATGGTGGCTGCTGAGCCTTGAACGAGCGTAGATGTGTCTTGCTGCAAATCCTGCAGCGCGCTTCGCAGTCCTGGTGGACCTGGTAGGTCCTTCGCAGCCCGCCGCGGTGCAGCGTAGGCGGTGGTCCCTCGCTGGTGCTGCTGCTCTGGCGCTCTCCCCAGCGTGGGCGCTGGATGGGCGCGATCTCAGCCCTGCTGCTGTCTGATCCTGATGGGGAGAAGCGTCCCCCAAGCTTGGTCTCACGAGGGTGGGTGAAGTGCGGTGGGCAGCGTTTGAGAGCGCCTGGAGAACGGGCTGAAATAAACAGTACGGGGAGAATTGAAGGGGAAAAAAAACAAAAGTTGAAACCTGTTGAGTCATAAACTCAACAAACTTGATAGTGGAGTTGTGTGATAAAGGCTCCCCAGAGCCTGTTGCACCGGGTTTTACAGGAACCTGCCAGATCTGGGACAAGCAGAAAATGCACTTAAGTAACCCACACCCAGGGACTTCCCGGCTCACGGGCTGGAGCAGTAGCAGCAGAGGAGGAAGAGGAGGAGGAGAAGGAGGAGGAGGAGGAGGAGGAGGATGAGGATGTTTCCTTTCAGACCAGGTCTTTGCGTTCTCTTGTGTGCCCTCGGGGTTGGAGCTTGGGCTGGAAATAGGAGACCCAGTTCTGCCTGGCCTCTCTGCCTGGGCTGTCCTGGCCCTGGTTTTCTGCGGTGCTGTGCACGTAGGCTCGTACGGTGCCTTCCCGTGCCCGGCGCTGGGAAGGAAACACCTGGCAACGTCCAGGGCATGTCAGGAATTTTCTCGAGGGGTATTTACAGATGGGAAGATCCTCCATCCCTGCCAGGCTGGGCTGTGGGGTTTACTGGGACGGTTGGTGGTGCAGGGGACGCAAATGCCTTTGCTGGGTGTCTGGGGGGGGCTGACACTGTGCTTGTGCCCCCCCAGTTGTGCTCATCGGGGACTCTGGGGTGGGGAAGAGCAACCTGCTCTCGCGCTTCACCCGCAACGAGTTCAACCTGGAGAGCAAGAGCACCATTGGGGTGGAGTTTGCCACAAGGAGCATCCAGGTGGACAACAAGACGGTGAAGGCTCAGATCTGGGACACGGCCGGGCAGGAGCGGTACCGGGCCATCACCTCGGCGTGAGTTTCCTTACACCCCACCCGTGCCCCTCACCCAGGGCTCTGCTGTGACCCCGTCCCCTCGCTGCCCCCCAGGTACTACAGGGGGGCGGTGGGAGCTCTGCTCGTCTACGACATCGCCAAGTACCTGACGTACGAGAACGCTGAGCGCTGGCTGAAGGAGCTGCAGGACCACGCTGATGCCAACATCGTCATCATGCTGGTGGGCAACAAGAGCGACCTGCGGCACCTGCGGGCTGTGCCCACTGATGAGGCCAGGACCTTTGCAGGTATCATCTCCCCCATCCTGCCCTGTCCTGTCCCATCCCAGGGCAGCTGTAGCTCGTGGCACCCACCTGAGCTCACCTGTCCTTGCAGAGAAGAACGGGCTGTCCTTCCTTGAGACGTCTGCTCTGGACTCCACCAACGTGGAGACAGCTTTCCACAACATCCTCTCGGGTAAGGGGCAACCAGGAAAGGGGCGAGGAGGGGGCACGGAGATGGTTTCAGACATTCAGGACCTTGCTGGGGACCCTGGCTGTATGTTCTGGGTGGGATTCTGCTCCCCTGGATGGGAGGCTGTGGGCATTTGCACCCCTTGAGCTGCGTGTTTTGGGAGGGGGGCAGGTCCCCCACGGAAATATATACTTAAAAGACTTTTTTTTTTTTCCTTCTCTTCTCTCTCTGCTGGCAGAGATCTACCGCATCGTGTCACAGAGGCAGATCGCCGGACAGCCGGAGTCGGAGTTTGGCCCCACCACAACCATCGAGCCCATCGAGCCCATCCGGGTGCTGCCCACGCAGCAGGAGGGCAGGCAGGCACCCTGCTGCCAGAACATCTGAGCACCCTGGGGTGCCCCCACCCTGACACCCCCCCCATCCTGCCACCACCCAGCACATAGTGGCATCATTTCTCACCCTCTACCTCTGCTCGTTGCAGCCCCCCCGGAACGGGGTGGGCTGGGGGCTGCTTCGTCGTGCTGCCCGTGTGCTGCTCTCCCCGTGTGTATGTAGGACCTACACAAACAGGCTGGAAAAAGCATCAGGGTCTCCTCTTTCTCCTCCTGGTTGGGACGTGCCATCCCCTTGTGTCACTGCTTCCTCCAGCCCTGAAGGCACAGTCACCAGGTGACTCAGGGTGGCACCCAACAAGCCCAAACCGTGTGAACTCCCTTGTTTGGTGCCACATTTCTGCAGCACCCCTGGGTGCAGCCTTTCAGGGTGGGGTGGGGAGGGGGGCACTGGGTGCACCCTTCTCTTGCCTGGTGGAGCAAGCAGCGACACAACTGCTCGCACCCAGCCCTGCCCCTCCAACATCAAGGGCTGGGTGTGCCTCTGGGTGCTGCTGGGGCAGCTGGGGAACACCCCAGTGCACCCGCAGGGTGACAGTGGCCCCATCCTCTGGCCTAGGGGACAGCGGGTACCTCCCAGGGTGGGCATCACCCCGGGTGCTGGGACAGACTGGGCTGAGCCCAGTGCCACTGTCAGAGGGTGATTGGCAGCTGTCAGTCAAGAGGGGTGTTGGGGGCCTTACTGAGAGAGCCTGTCCCCATTAACCCTAGTGCCCCCCGTCACAGTGTGGGTTGTTTTTTTTGGGGGGGATGTGGGAGGAATCTCTGTCTCTCCATGGCTGCCCCCAGTCACCCCATCCCACTTGGCTGTGCTGGCAGGATCCGTGCCAGGGTCTTGCTTTGGGGTGTGATTTATCAATGAAACAGGAATTTGGGCAAAATCCTCAAATAAAGTTGCTGCTGGAGGCTCTCTCTGCCAGGGTCCTTCCTCGAGGCCAGGGACTGTGCCAGCTCTGGCGCTGCACCTCTGCCCGCTCGGGCACGGAGCTGCTGGGCAGCATCGCCAAGCAATGAGGGGTGTGAGAGGCGAGGAGGAGGAGGGACGGGGAGGAAGGTGTGACCGTAGCCTGTGCAAGGGGGCATCTCGCTGGGAGGCTGGAGAGGAGAGCTTGAAATTCAGGCTCGGAGGGGCAGGTTGGAACCTGCTGCCATGGCACAGGTGCTGCATGAACCGGACGCAGACGTGGCTGCACCGTGTGGGTGCCAGCCCCGTTTTGAGCTGAGGTTGCCCCTTTTTTTTTCCAACCAAGGGCACAGCCACCCCAGCCCTGGCAGCATCCCGACCATGGCTGGAGCCTGTCCCCAGGTGAGTGACAGTTATTATCCCACCTGGCCATGCTCTGCCTCGTGCCCGCGCCAGCTGGGAGAGGCACGGCTACGTGCAGACAAGCTGGAGAGCTGCCAAGTGCCACCCCCTCCCACACCACCATCTGCCCGCACCGAAACACGGTGCCAAGAGGTGATGTCAGCCCTGCTGCCGCGAAAGGTGGGTGCACGGGGGATGGATGCTGCCCCTGGCTCTGCAAAGGGACAGGGGCTGAGCCAAGCATCCCTCAGGGCTCGCTGCCGTCAGACGTGCCAGCCAGCCAGGCCCTGGCATGGGCACACGGGATGATGAGCTCATTTAGGCTCATGGAGACACTTTCGGGCCCGGCAGCTCAGTTTTGTTCCAGGTTTTATAGGATTTCTGCTGGAATGAAGTAGTGGGGAGAGTGAAACAAGGCACAGGGACATGGGACCCTTCTGGCACCATGACTGGGAACAGCAGTGGGTGCAGGGGAGCTGCTAGTCTTGCAGATCATAGAATCATGGAATGGTTTGGGTTGGAAGGGACCTTCAAAATCATCCAGTTCCAACCCCCCTGCCATGGGCAGGGACACC